GGGGAACGTATCGATAGAAATTTCTCCAGTGGAAAATGTTCTAGACAGAACACTATTGCGAAGGAGAATGCGGAAACATTTGAGATGCGCGCGTTTCTCCATTTTCCTTGTGTAATGCATTTTCGCTTTTCCAGTGTTACGAAACTCGTACACGGAGGATTATTCAATCGTTGGTGAAAAAAGAAGGGAAGCACCAGTTTCTCCAAGGATGGACGAGCAGACCGAACGAGCTGGGAAATGTGAGAATATCGTCGAATCGATTTGACGATAGCCTCCGTTGTTTCTATAGCCCGAGATACTCTTGAGTGCTTCTCGGCACGAGGAATTCGTAAATATTTCACTCGTATGCTAAAATAAAGCTCTACATCGTAGAGTGCGTTCGTTCGCTGATTCATTCGTCACGTTGAAAATCGAGAATTTTAAAATAACTTTCAATGGATTAGTAAATCTAAATTAGAAAATAAAATAATGATAAATTGGAAATTTTCTGAATTAGAAAATTCGTAAATCTTTAGAGAAAACTCTACAAATTAGCGGCGGAGCATTTTCGAAGATTTTCAGCGATATTTTCCCTCGTGATTTACGTTCGATTCTTTGTATTTTGAAATCTCAAGCTTAAGCGAGATTATGACAAGCGTGATAACGATCATACATCATCGTTTGATCTTAAGAAAGTTTCAAGCTGTTCCACTTTAGTCCACAAACCTGTCCTTTGATACCTTTGACGGACGAATGAACTATATTTAAATTCGCCATAACTAACAACTGGCAAAGGCAAGGGAAAAGGAAATATAAATGAGGATATCATGCCGGTGTGAAAGTGCTTTACAATGTTTGAAATTTGCGTGGGGAAAAAAGCGACGAAAGTCAGACACGATAAGACGTATTTCCATAAATTTCCCCGTGATAAATTTGCTTTTGCTTCCGTTTTATCAAGAGATTTCCACAACGAGTCACGAGTGCACGCGACCGTTCCACGAAGACTCGGAGTTCCAACTCGGGAGAACGGATTAAACCTATCACGTTTCACGATATTGTGCCTCTAACCGCAGTTTAGATCGATCCCCAGGAGGCTTTTCTAACGGACGCTTCCACGGAAATCATGACATCCTTTTAATGGCGCAAAGATACGTTTGATCAATATTACGACCTGTATTCTCGTTCTACTTAAATCTTGGCTCAGCTTATGTGGTGGCCGTAAATGCAACCGTGAAAGATCTATCAAACTATTGAATATAGACACGCGCGTTTCAGATATAGTCCAAACGAACTCGCATGATTCGTTCGAATGAAATGAAATGAAATGTTATCCTCTTTCGTTTCAACAAACCTGCGATCGTAATCACTTGTATTATTTATCACATTATTTACAACTGTACCGTGTATGACAATAGAATGGTCTATTGATAAATTAAGTAAAAACATGTGTAAAAATGAATGAGGAGATTGAGATATATTGCGCGGTTAATAGTAATAGTCGCGCAAAGTGATACATTTTAACACCGGTTCGAACAACAGTTATGGGAAAACAAAACGTCCTAGAGAATATTTTGAACAGTGAACGTGCTATATTATGTATCATACTATACTATATTATATTATATATTATACATATAATACTATATTATATTATAATATAATAATATATAATATATATATATATATATAATCTTTCATATCGTATGAATTTAAAAAAATTTCTATGCTAAATGTATATGTATGGGAACATGTATGTATGGAGTTGGTTATGTACATATTTAGGACTGAATTAAATGTGACAACAAAAGACTGAATCAAATATATTTAATAACTATTTGAAATAATACTCACTGTTCTGGATCAAAGATGTATCGAGCAATGATACAAGATTTATTGATTGTAGTCTTTATTCCTCGAGCTTCTTCTTTTTGTATTTCCCGCCAAACGTTAGCATCTCGATGCTGTAGAGCAATTGCGTTCGAGAATCGAAACGAGTGTATTACATGTTTCACCGTTTAATTACAAGTGGAAATCACTATGCACACGTGAGAATGTTGTTGTCCAACTTAGAATAAAAAATAAAAGGAAAAGAAAAATTCCCTAACCGTTTTCGTTTATAAAACAATTCAAATATATATGTATATCCAGTATTTCCAACAATATACATTGTATTTTTTCGAAACTCAAGTTCACATGAGAAAATTATCGTAGTCAATTTATCAAAAGTTTTTCATAAATTTCCCACTGCAAATCCACATTTGTTATAATACGTAATACATTTGTTATAATACATTTGTTATAATGCGTAAGTAGAATGTAAGGTTATGTACGCAAACGATACTTCACGCGCGTATACTTTCCGATTTATATTGAAAAGCTGTATTGCACTCACGCATCGAAATACTAGATTATCACGCGATCTATGTCACCTTTTTGTACAATTTTGACAACGTCGGTCGGATTCTCGGTTTGAACGACGCCGAGAAGACGCAAAAGTTTCGAAAGTTCAAACGGCGACGGGCGCGCGACGAGGATGCAGTCGGAACGCCATCTGAAACGATCGCTTCCGGTGCAGAGCAGCAGTAAAATGGCAGTTGCGCGCAAAAGTCTGTTTATTTACGTGCTGTCGATGATTAATTGAATTCAACGTCGTGTCCACGAGAACGGTGTCCGGATGATCGAGCTCGGCAACGACGGGAGGAACGTTGAATATAGACACGCGAGAACGTAACCGAATCAAAAAGCTCGGCGGAATCAAGAAGAAAAAGAAAAGGGAGGGAAAAAGAAACGTGAGTGAATGTCGCGGCCGTGGAACTCAGCCTGTCGTCGTCGTCGTTCTAACCTATTTCACGGTGCATCGTGTCCCTCGCGTTCTGGAATTTTCCGACGCGCTGTCAACGCGTTGTTTGCCAACAGTGATTCGGCATGATGCCATGTTGCCGCAAACGCTGAGCACGGAATCGTGCGAAATTGTTACCATGGCTGACGAAGTGCTGCCGGCGAGCTTGGAGAGGCTCGAGATTGATCGACTGTCCTCGATCGGCTGCCCTCAGTAAGCATTTTACCGCCAGAATTACCGTCGTTTAACAACCGCCTGCTTCTCGCGACACCGTGTCGTTGTGGTGTTTCCAGCGCCTCGGACTGGCTCGCAATTCCCCCTCGTTGTCGCCCCCTCGTTTCGCGCATCGCGGATTCGGCCTCCAGTCGACGGGTTCTGCGACGCGATTTTCGTTTTCAACGCGCGGTCAAGGTCTCGTTTCGCCACGGCTACGCGACGATTTCTGTTTACTCGTCGTCGTAGTACGTCCTCTGCCGACGACGATCCTCCGTTAATTATGCAGGCGCTCGTGAATGCGCATTTCAATGATCGTCGTTTCTTATTCGCGATGCTGCGAAATAACAACAACAGCAGCAACAACAACAACAACATCGACTACGATCCGTAAGCAAAATGTTTACATATCCCGTGTAAGTTTAAGGGACACCGAATGCACAGAGTCATCTACATTTGCCAAACGTTTATTGCTCATCGCTTCGACGATTCACACGCGTCAGTCAGATCGTGGAAATGAGAGGATAGAAGTGACAAAGTGAAGTGGAATGATCGATCGTTTGTTCGTTGGGACGATTGGCGATTGACGTTTATCAACCGAGAGCGAATTGAAAACAATCCCGTTGCAATTAGTGCCTTGCTTCTTTTTCTCCGGCAGTGATATGAATTCACGTATACAGTTTCACGCTGGTGGTGTTGCATAAGAAACGAACGTTTACCAATATCCGATTCAAGGTTATGCGGCCTTTAAGAATGGTGAATCATCGCGTGATTGATGATTTGAAAATTGTCGCCTCGTTAACATTCTTGCAATATCTCGGAATCTGTTCTTCTTACCTAAACGGATTTTAATATGCGAATCTCGAAAGAATTACATACAATAATCATTTCTATTCGTTTTACAATTACTAACTGACGCTCTTTTCCTTTCTCTCTGTGCTGTTTCAGCGTTACACCAGCCGACAGCAACGTGAAGTCGTCGAATCCATTTAGAACAAGTAAAACTCAAGTCAGTTCCGACTGCAGTCACTTGTTTCAAAAGAGATTGATGCCCGTCAGGCCGACGACGTTAACTGCAATCAGCTCCAGAGGTGTGAAAAGCACAACGAACTTCAAACCATCAAAGAACGAAAGAGCACTCGATAAGACCAAGAAGAACTCGATAATCAAAGAGGCTGTTTTAAAGTTGAACAATACCGGCACTAATTCTGGCCAGCTTAGTGATGACCTAGCGAGTACGTTGCTTAAGGAAACATGTAAATTTAGTATCTGTGGTAAGAATTCAAAGATATTTGGCCATGGTACGGTTGCAAAGGACTTTAAAGCGCTGAACATTAGTCAAGACTCTAGACAAGCCAAGGATGACACCAGCATCCAAGACGATTATCAAGCTAGTAGTTTCCAACGGGCACGCAGTAATACAATGCCAAGCTTAAAAAGAGGGCCTGGTCCAGGTGGAGGTAGTAGTAACAATAGCAACAATAATAACAGCAGCAACAACAACAATAACAACAACACTAACAATAATAATAATAGTCAATTGGAAATTACTGGTTCAACTGGCGGTCAACCTTCAACTTCAAATACATGTTCAGCACAAGCACGAATATCTCCACCATCGTGCGATGTCACTATTGATGAGCTTGCCAGCTACTTCGAGGAGTTTGTTCATATTCCAAAGAAGATGTCACACATGGCAGAGATGATGTATATTTAATTATAATATGTTAAATTGTAACGAGACAGATTTTCTTATATACAGTTTTTCAAAAGACTAGCATGCAACATGTTCAGTTTGCGGATTGCAAGTCTAAATACTGTATGTTTGCTACAAATCCAATTTAATTTGGTACCTAAATTATATATAATATACAATAAAAAAAAAAGAAAAAAAAATATTTAAAGAATCTGCGATCAAAGTGATTCAAATTAAATTTGAATATCATTTGAATAAGATTAATGAGAATGAACAAAGGTTATTAAATATCGCGAGGATACTAAAACTACGATGGAAAATGTATTTATTTCCTAAGGTTATTTCTGTTTAATTATTTCGTTTAGTTGGTAATGAAGGAAATTTGTTTATAAAATTTTTGTATTACGAAATCAAACATTGGTATTGGAATAAATTTCTTGCAACTAACACACCCATCGTTATTGCTAAAACTCTCATTTACTTGCGCGTTCATTTACGTGAGAAAGTCGTGTGGATAGAGTATATGTAAATATCGTTTGTTAATATGATACATAATATATTTATCTGCATAGGCTTATGGTACTTAATACAATGATACAAAGTAACCATTAAATTACTTAATAATAATAAGCTTTGGTACGTAAACAATGACGATATATTGATCCATTTTTACTTTAGGTACGAGTGAACCATGTTGACGCGCGGTGTATTTATGAAGACCTTGACGAAAGCCTAAATGCATTAAAAAATATCCATCTATTTGGTGTGCGCATCACGTGACGACTGTTTTTCATTTTTCAACATTTACAAAGGATTTACTAAGCAATTTTCGACACGTTTAATTTCGTTGGTAGCCCCGCGCAATACTCAAACTCTGTATCAAAAAACATGAGGTCTGTCACTATATCACAGATTTATTAAAATTTCATTTGAACGGAGCCACAACGAAACAAATTTTCAAAATTTTTGTAGGAAAGAATATTCAACGATGTACAACAATACTTCGTGTTTTACGAATTACAGGAAAAGAATCAAACGATCAAGCTTTCGGTGGAAACTTGTCACCAAGCCGAGAGACGCAGTGTTCGTGAGAAGTTCCAAGTATAATTTAAAAATAGGAAATCGTACGCAACCACACCACCGAGTGTTATTAATTCATACATCAAAAGATATAGGTGAAACTGTCGCACGATTTCACGACGATCGAGCGGTAAAAATAGTTATTTAATAGTAATAAAAATAGGACTAATCAAGTTGTGAACTTATCCTGCTTTGACAATTATGACGACAAATATTAAATATTAAATATTACAATAGGCTACGAAAAGTTTAGCTGGAATTCCTAAAATCTTAATATCCTATGCATCCATTCGTGGCAGCGAATGGTCGAAAATCGATAGCCTCGCATAAATCAATTGGCGTGTTGAGTATACACGTTATCCTTCAGACTACCGAAAGCACAACGATGACAGTATTATTGCATTATTCGTGACAGTTTCATCAGGGACTGGAACATACATCTACGTACATGTTCCAATCAAGTTACGCGGCGTCTCTCGGCTAGAATTTTCCATGTCGAATGTATCTCGGATGCAAATTTTATGTTGTTGTTTCTTGTTATTGAAAAATCGTTCGTGATTTATCGTTACGTTGTGATACAATAGAAAAGAGTGTACATGCCTGCTCGAATTCTCTAATTCGTAATACGAACAAACAAGTATAAAATCGAGAAATAATTTCCGAATGTTATTACCACTATTACTACTCTGTACCAAATATGTTTTCTCTCTAGAGGTTCTAGAGGTTTGTGAGAAAAAATTGAAATTTCAATTACGCGTGATCGACTCGATTAGACTCGTGAAAAAATTTGCTCGAGCAAATATATGTATAGTCGTCGAATATAAGTTCAAATGCAATTGATCTGTTCCTCTTGTCTAAACAATATCAGTCTCTAGGTCCAGTGGAAAGGCCACATGATGCCCTTACCAGTATTTAACATTTAAATATACTACTCTCTTCGTCTTGTTCGGATAAAATGATGTATATGCGACAGTGTGTTGACATTCAAGATAGAGAAAAATCAAACGTTACTTTCTATACATGATGGACATTGGTGTGTGTTTTGCCATCGGCTCGACGAATCGGATTCGTGCATGATTGTATATTTCAATACGAATGTGTCTACGAACTATGGCGACAACATGATCGTTAGCGGAAAATCTTAAATGACCATTTTCTCCGTGAGAAACACAACAACATTTTGATCGGTATAAAACGCTCATAGAAAAAGTTTTACTGGACGTAATACAGCTACATTTCTAAACACTACGTAAACATGATGCTTTTTCACGTGCATTCACCGCATCATATACTATTATAGAAATAAATTAGTCAACTCACACAATGAAGGTATGTGGTGTTTGCCTCGCTAATTATAGTAGAAAACATTATATTTATCGGTACGCTATATATAATGGTGGCAATAGAATGTCGAGTTCGCGACGAGTCCCGGTAAAAGTATTCCGTATACGTTTGAATCGATGTGCCCGTCTTTGGAACCACTTTGTGTTGCAGTTTGTTGTTAACAAATAACTGGCTTGTCAGACGTTCGTGCGCTGTGCTGTCCCGTTTCGTGAAACCCTTCGTTTCGTTTCTTTCTTTCTTTTTTTTTTTTTTTTTTTTTTTTTTCGAAAACGAATCAATTTTTCTTTCTATTGAGCAATAAGTCACGGACCGTACAAAGAAGCACGACATTTTATTGCTCGTTTCTTAATCTGCTTACGGCAGAGATGCGCGTGAAAAAAATACCACACATTCGCTGGTGTAACAATTCACTGCACTCACACGCACTGTAATCACCTTATCGTCACACTCACACTTTCATACTTATACTCTATTATCTTTTCTCTCCTCCTCCTCCTCCTTTTCATCACTCTCATTCGCTCAATATTTTTTTCTTGCTCTTTACTCGTTTAAATGTTTTTATACATATATCTAAACTGTCATGATGGCTCATCTTGTTTATCGTGACCATAGTTCAGTGTACGCTTAGGGACTTACACGTTCTAACGATACGTTCCGCGGAGGACGACCATGACGAGACAACGATATACGTCCTCGAGGTGGAAACCCTTTGTCCGGGAAATATTCTTGTACAACGGAATTACGAAAATGAGAATTCGCAAGGCGTTTCACATCCCGAGGAGATTTTACAACTATCTTCACGGGCCTAACGCCTAAACTCTACCCTAACTTGTCGTTTGTATGTTTAAGTAGAAAATTTACAATTTTTTTTTTTTTTCAAACACTTTGTACGAGTAACATCGATGACTTAATCTTTACCTTTCGAGTAGTATCTCTAGTATTTTTTATTTTTTTATTTCATTTTACTTTTTTTTTCTCGATAGATTCACGGTAGTTTCAATGATAATGTCGGTCACCTCTCGTGGCGACGTGCAGTCGTATAACATACATACGTTTGCTTCTACTATTAGTAACTTCTTCTTACTCTCGTCTTAGTGAATTAAAAAAAGAAAAAAAAAAAAAGAAAGAAAAAGAACGTCCAAATTAATTCAACGAGGAGACGTATGCTTCAAGGTGCATTATCAACTCGTCGTAAAACAGACGGTTCTTTGTTTTTTTTTTTTTTCTTCTTTTTACAGATTGCAATCACAGTAAAAAAATAATAATAATAATATACATATATACGTATATGTATACGCATCGGAGAAACGAATGTATGTTTTTCGAATCGGATACACTGTTCGCGGAACAAAAATACATTGGAAAGTAGTCTTTCTCGTTAACATTTATAAAACGTATTTCAATCTCTCGTATAAAATATTGTCCTACTCGACGTATCGCCCGAAATGAAACGAAAAGACTAGGAGCATACTTGCGTACTCCTAGCTTGTTACATTAATGATTCGACGTGCATTTGGATTTTCAAGGAGTGAATCCAAAATGAAAAATAAAACATTTCACATCTTAGGAAAAATCATTGGCGATTGATTCGATCGATCGATAAAGAAGCAATCGCGCGGATTACATTAATGTCGCGACACCTTTCGTTTTGTCTGCGTCGTAACCATACATTGACGGATTAATACAGCTCGATTACATCGTCTACCATTTAAAATTCTACTTTTTAGTTCTCAACTGGTTCCGTTCTACCCTCTAAACATCTTTTCTTCCGCAATAATAATAAGATACTTTTTTGTCAAATATTTTTAATATACTCTCCAAATTGTGAAAATGCTTAATAAATAGCTCGAACGTTGAACGATTCCATTTTAAATTCTATA